CCCCCCCCCCTTATCTTCCCAGCCGCCAGCACTGGGGGCAGGGGCTCTGAAATCACAGACCCACTCTGGGAGCGGCACCTCCATGGATGTCCACACACTTCCCAGGAGCCAGGCTGGATCACATCTTCTGGGAGAAGACCTCAGGCTGGGCTGTCCCAGACTCAAGCTCCGGGGTCTGTCTTGGCGGGGGCAGGGAAGCCACAGGGAAGGGAGGGAGGTTTCCTGTCTGGCCCCTGGAGCCCTGGTGGCTTTGCTAAAAGCATCTCTCCACTAATCCCAGGCGGGTCCCTGGCCTTGTGGTCAGGGTCGAGGCCCCATGACCAGGCAGGCGCCCCCAGGACCTCTGACCTGGCCTGGTGGAGGGGCAGCCAGCGGAACAGGCCATTGGTGGGGAGGCTGGGCCCTGCCCCCACCAGGGTTCTGGGTGAGCCCAGGGCTCCTGGGTGGGCTGAGGGTGAGACGAGAGGTCCTGCTGTGCCCTCTTTCCCGGGTGGGCAGTCAGAGTTCCTGAGTGCAGGGCCTGGGGAAGCGAACAGGGCCCTTTTCCCAGGAGCTGGGTGAGTCTGGCTGGGAGCCAGCTTGGGCAGTGAAATCCTGACAAAGCCAATGAGATCCCTTCCCACTGCACTGTCCTGCTGCCCCAGGAGTCCCCAGCCCCAACCCAGGAGCGGGTGGGCTGGGCAGTCGTGCAGGGGCGGAAGAGCCCCACTACCGGCCACTGCCTGCCTGCCGTGGGGCTGGCCAGAGGTGTAACGTTACCGGCAGCACCAGCTCATGGCGCCACCCGCTCCAGCCCCTCGGCTCCCACCAGCTGATCACCTCCTCCCGCCCCCCACCCCCACCCCCGGGGTTTTGGCACCCAGCCAAGGCGGGCTGCACAGGGCCCAGCAGGGCTGGACTGGGGCTGGGGAGAAGGGAGACCCCTAAGGGTTGCAGGATCTTTGAGACATAGAAGGCAAGGGTCTGCAAAAGCCCGTAGACTTCCACCCTATCCAAATGAGGAAACTGAGGCCAGAGAAAAGGGTGGGATCCACACAGGGTCCAGTGAGATCTTAGTTGCACTGGAAAAGAGGCGGCTCTGAGATAGGGCAGAGCATGTGCAGCGGGTGGCAAGGAGCTCAGAGGGGCCTCTATGCTCTTGTCAATTCGGCCCCAGAGCACAGAAGCCCAAGGTGGACCCCCTCATCTCTGCCCTTTTCTGTCCACAGCAGTGGGCCTTGTCTGCTGGGAATGGCTCATCAGAGGTGGAAGGTAAGCACGCTGGGCTGGGGGTGCACATGCTCACCAAGCCCGCCCCTCCCAGGCCTCTGCAGAGGATACTAAGGCGCTGGCATGAAGGATGGGTACAGGCTGATATGAAGTTGGGGAGAGTCTGCAAGCTGGCTGACATCCTAGCTGACAAAGTGGGCAGGGCTTGAGAGATCCTCCTCTTGTGACCCAGGAGCCCAGGGAGGTGTATTCCTGGGCCAGGGTCACCCAGCACGCAGACAGTGAGGCTGGGGCCAGTATATCCAGGGTTTGTTCAGTTGGCTCGGAGCCCCTTCCCAATATAATGTAAGGAGGCAGATGGGGTCTTGGAGGGCAGTGTAGGCGGTGAGTGCCAGGAGCCATACTAGGGATCCAGGAGCTGGTTGCCGTGGGCAAGCCGTCAAGAGGATTAGGAAGGGGTGAGGGGACCTTCCCAGAAGCCCAGCCCTGGCAGAGCTGCAGGGATCTGACCAGGCCTTTCCATTGATTACAAACAGAACATGAGTCGTGCCCTCCCTGGCCCCTCCGCCCCTCACCCCGGGGTTGCATCAAGAGGGAATGTTCAAAGGGTGTGTCGTTTGCCAAAGGGACATACGTGCAGAAGGCAGGAGGCCCGTGCCAGGCCCCCTGTCTCGCTCCTCCCTCCCAGCCTCTCTGAGACGTGCGGCAAAGCCACACATCGCCACTGAGGCTTCCCCTCGTGCTGTGGGAGAGGGAGCGTGTAGGGACGTGCACACGCACACTCGTGGTAGCCTCTGAGAGCTGGGAACACCCTCCCCCTGGGCCCTGTCTGCCTCTCCTGGGCACCAAAAAGCTGGGGGGAGGTAGCAGCCCTTAACTTCACTGACACTCTCCCTGTCACCCTGCTGTGCCCGCTGGCTCTGGCACAATATTATTCTCTTGGGACTTGGGGAGGGACCCATCAGCCGTCTCCACCCCATGACCTTTTTGATGCTTTTAGTGTATTTCAGCAACAGGTACCAAAGAAGTCTGAATTTCCTTTTCCTCGTCTGTAAAATAGGAACATTAGATTACATGATATCCGACGTTCTTTTTCCCAGAGTGTGGGATTCTCTGACTCCCATGGAGGAGACACAGGAGTATATATCTCCCGTGGCCAGGGGTGAGGAGGCTTAGAAGTGTCAGTTCATTAGGGCCACTGCCCTGTCATCCTATCAGCCTAATCAGCCAGGGAGCGTGGACTGTGGCCAGGTGAAACACCATGAGTTTTGGACCCCAGTTACCACAATCTGAAAATGCCATCCTCTCCTGCTAACATCAGACAAGCGACAGAAGGGTCCGTACTTTGCAACCGTAGACATTGATTTTTGCTACTACTATTCATGGTACTAGTGTTGGGCAGTCCCTCTAATTCTGCGCTGGCCACAGGCTGTGAACTGGGAAGGCATTCATTTTCTCCCCATTTTATAGATGGAGAACCTGAGGCTCAGAAAGGTCCTTGGGGCCACCTAAAGCCTCAGACGCGCCCCCGTAGATGTGGCAAAGTCGGGGTGCGTAGCATCGGCCTTCCCCGTGGCTCATGACCGTGCAGGCATGAGCAGCATGTCCCTTTCGGCAGGCTGGCTGTGTGCCCCGCCAGTGCCATGGAGAGGACACCTGCCGAACTCAGGCTGGTGGCTGGCGGCTCAGCCCAGATCTGTGGCCCCTCCCCAGGAGCTTGCTGTCGGGATTAAACACTTCCCTTCCTGTGTCTCCTCCATCCCAGGTCATAGGCAGATGGAACCAGATTGGAGGCTTGCCGCCAGGGCTGGCGAGAGATCGCTGAGAGCCCAGTTGCGGCCCTGGCCGCAGCCCCATGGAACCGCCCAGCCCTGGCCAGGTGACTGACCGAGCCACAGCCTCTAGTTCCTCTCACCCCCACCCTGCCTCCGGAGCAGGTCAGGGGGCCAGAGGAAGTGCTCGCAGGAGCAGCTGAGCAGAGCTCTTTCCTGAGGGGCTCAGCCCACATCTGGCAGTGGTCACCACACTCCTGGAGCCAGCCCCTCGCCCACCCCCCTCACATAGCCCCCTCTGTTTCTCCCGCGTGCCCAGACAGTGGCCTCCAGGGACGAACTGCCCTTTTTCCTGGTGGCTGCCAGGTAAACCAGACAAAGCCCGCCTCCTTCTTAGCCAACCCCTCCTCGCCCCCCCCCCCCCCGCCCCTTCCCCTACACAGTCTGGTCATGTGGCCCATGGAGCCTGGGTCCTGATGACGTAGTCTGCATGGTGAGGTGTGGGGGCGAGGAAAGGAAATCCCTTCTGCCGCCAAGGCCCGGGCAGCTCTGCTTAACCTGGCCGTGGCCCTGGCAGCCCGGCGGGGTGGGAGCCTGTTCGTAGAACGGTAGGGGGCTGAGGTGCCCCTTCCCTGCTGCTGTCCCGCTCCCTGATGGCCAGTGCCGGAGCAGGAGACTGAGCTGTCTGTGGCGCTTTGGCAGCCGGCTGTCCCTCTGCTGTTATTTATGTTGTCCACGGCGGAGGTGAAACATTCAGAGTTACATAGTGCTCGTGGATTTTAGACTAAACATGTGCTCATGGAGTTACAACAGGGGGGTGCTCCTCTGACCTTGCCCTGCAAAGGCTGGCGCTTACAGGGAGAGGGGCTTGTGTCCCACTTGTGTCCAGGGAGAGTATTCCCGTGGCTGGAGAGGTAGGATCAGGGCAGGCATCTGGGCCCCCTCCTATCCCCGGGCCCAGCCCCTAGTGCTCCCTAAGCAGACGGGGCAGAATGCAGCAGCAGACGCCCAGATAAGCACGGTTTATTGCCTCTGTGGCCGCCTTGGCCAGCTCCACATGGACACACCGCCTCGGGTATTTTCCACCAGCTTGCAGCCTTTCCCGAGGGCCCCTGTTAGGGCTGAAGTTTATTTTTCCTCTGAGATTACCCTGAGACTCACGGCCTTCCAGGCTCAGTGGAATGGACTTCGGCCCCTTCTGCCTCCTAGGAAAGGCCATGGAAGGAAGTGAGGGGCTGCTAGGAGTGGCCGTTGCTCTAGGGCAGAGGCTGCAGGGTCCCCCAGGTGATCCAGCTTCCCTGTCCTTCCCCATCAGCTGAGGACAACCATCAGGTATAGGGCAGGATGACCCAGAGTTAGAGATGTTTCTCTGCCCACGGTCTCAAGGCTGGGCTGGGTTGCAAGCACAGAATCCCAAACCATGTGTCAGAGCCAAGAGAGACCTTAGCAACCATCTATTCCTAGCCTTCTTGTTTTTCCCCAGCTGAGGAAACTGATATACCCAGAAAGGTTAAGTGACCTCCCCCAGGTCACACAGCCAGTATAGGACCCGGACTAGAAGCCATGTCTCCTAACTCTGGCTACTCACTTTCTGGGAGCCTCTGTTTGGGACCAGGCCCCAGGCCTTCGCCTGAAGGAGCATCTTTTGAGAGATTCCAGATGAGCCGACAAAAGATCCTGGTCACAACCACTAGGATGTGGTGGGGGTCAGGGATGTCCCTGATAATCCTCAGTGAACTGTCATCTAATCAATCAATAATTACCTAGCCTATTTTTACTGGGTGCTTGGGTCCCTGTCCTCATGGAGCCTCGACTTGGTTGTAAAGGAGATAAGAGCCACTAGTGGCCAAGATAAGGTAAAACCTCGGGGCCAAATTATGCTCAAAGGAGGAACATCTGTTCATACTGGGAAAGTTGGAGAAGGCTCCGGAGAGGAGGTGGGATAGTGGGCTTTATCTGGTTAGGAACAGGAAGGGGACAAAGAGCACATCCCGAAGGTGGGAATAATGGTGATACAGCCGAGCTTGATGTGAGGGCTGGTCCCACTGAAATGGAGAGTGATGTGGACAGGGCACGTTGCTGGCCGTGGCCTTGGCTGCCGAGTAGAGGAGCTGGCTCAGAGAGGGGCAGAAAATAAGGACTAAGGGGAGGCGAGCCCTCCCTGTGGGACTCTACAAGCCAGTCATGCAGAACTGACTGTTCTCTGCAAATTCCCCAAGATCGAGGAAGCAGTCGATCAGGCCTGAGAAAGGCCCAGAGGGCCTGAGGAGCCCCCAAGACACACGCTCCTCAAAGCTCCAAGGGCGCCACGGCAGATGTGGGTGCCTGCATTGAGAACAGAGCAGAGAGGCCAGACCCTGAGAAACTCCATTCCACTGTGGTTTCTGTCCGGCAGAGGAGCTAGGGGTCCAGCAGTCCTCCCAGAGGCATCATGTCAGGAGTTCAGAGCACAGAGCTCATACAGGCTGGGGGCTTCCTGGAGGAGGGAGTGCGGGCTGAACCTGGAAGGCCCTGCGCGGCTTGGGGAGCTGGCACTGGGCCTTTGAGGGGCAGGCTCCTCCTGACTTGACCCAGCTGTCTGTGCCTCCTTGTAGTGGTGCCCTTCCAGGAAGTGTGGGGCCGCAGCTACTGCCGGGCGCTAGAGAGGCTGGTGGACATCGTGTCGGAGTACCCCAGTGAGGTGCAGCACATGTTCAGCCCCTCCTGCATCTCCCTGCTGCGCTGCACCGGCTGCTGTGGTGATGAGAACCTGCACTGCGTGCCCGTAGAGACGGTCAATGTCACCATGCAGGTAGGGAGGGGGAGGAGAGCAGGCCAAGGTCCCGGGACCGGAACTGACTCCGAGGCCCCGGCACTCCCCACCCCAGCACAGTGCTCCCCCCTTCACGAGCCCCGTCCCAGCTTGGAGCCCACTCCAAGGGCTCTAGCCTGGTCCTACCCCATGACCCAAGGACGTCTGGTGGAGCTTGGAAAGGAAACCTGTTCAGATGCAAGCAGTCCTCGTGTATACCAGGAGCATTCGGTGCCCTGAGCTTTGTGTGTGTGCACATGGGCACGCATACACACACACACACACACACACACACACACACACACACACACACACACCCGTTGTTTATTAAGCACTTGCTAGTAAGGCCAAGCCCTGTGCTAGGTGCTCCTAAATGTTACTTCTGTTACCTCAACACGTGATCCTTCAAGGCAAGTGTTATTTACATTTCACAGATGAAGCGCTTGAGGTTCAGAGCTGGCATTTCACTGGCTCAGCAGGTAGAAGAACCAAGACTGTATGTAGGTCGCTCTGACTCCACAGCAGAGTCCCCCTTCCTATACTATTGCCATGCTGGTGGCCCCGGGGAAGGAGGGACAGGGGCCTCCCTCAGATCCACATGCAGGTGGGAGGGCTGTTTGCCCCCGACTCAAAGCACAATGAGAGTATGTGATCCCAAGGCTGGTGGCAAACAAGGAGTCAGGTCCCGCTCCCGGGGGGAAGGGTGGAGAGACTATTGGAAACCTAGGGGCCATCCTCCAATCCCGGCCTCAAACCTTTCTCTCCTGGAAGCTCCTGAAGATCCACTCTGAGGACCGGCCCTCCTACGTGGAGCTGACATTCTCTCAGCACGTCCGTTGCGAGTGCAGGTAGGTCCTCGGGGAGCGGCAGGGACAGGCCCTTCTCATTTGGGAGCCTCAGCCCAGTGGCTGCCCATCCCTCCCACGCTGTCTTCCTGGCTGAGGGAGACGAAGGAAATAAGGGACCAGTGGCAGCTGCCTTTTATGCTCCACATCAGCCAGTTTTGCCCGGGGAAGTGGTCCCATCAGCTGGAACACAGTTGCCTGAGAAGCCACAGGGGCAGAGGAAGCCAGGGTCCGTCCCAGCCTTGGAGGGGCTGGGGGTGCGCTCTCCCCCTCCCTGAGGTGGGAGGGGGCCGCCACAGCCCTGGAAGAGGTGCCTGGGGCTAAGACATTGCTGGCCTGGACTTAGTCCTAGGCCAGGCTGGCGCCCAGGGAAGGGGCGACTGGACTGAGGGGCACAGAGAGGGATACGCTCTGGCAGGAGAAAAGTGGCAGAAAGAAGGAGTCAGTGGCTTCTTTAAAGCCAACCTCCGCCTGGTAGAGCCTCTAACCAGCAGTCTTGCTGCCTTTGCCCAGAGCACCCTGAACATTAGTTACCAGGAGCAGCAGGCCTGGCACTTTAACCAGGCTCAGGGAGGAGAGACATGGGCTGGAACCCATTCTCCTGGTGCCCTGGGCCATACATAGATGGAGGCACCAGACTAGAGGTCCCGAGCCCTGCCCTGAGGCCAGAAGACAGGGGGAGAAGCACCGTTTGTTGCGTGCACCTCTTTTGTGCCCCCCACTAGGCACTCGAATGTTTTCTCATTCATTCAACAAACATTTATTGAGTGCCTGCTGTATGCCAGGCACTGCCCTAGATGCTTGGGATACAGTGGTGAGCAAGACAGACAAGGTCCCTCCTCTCATAACAACCCTAGGAGGCAGGTACTATTGTCATCCCCATTTTACAAATGAGGTAAACCGAGGCTAGTCAGGGAACCCCAGCCTATATAATCCCTAAGCCTGCCGTTTCTCATGCTGCCTCTCATGGCCATAACCACATTCTTCAGGAGCCCCACTGCTGCCCTGCCTCCTGTCCAGGACTCGGGCCACCCCTTTTGGACCAGAGCCCAGGCTCCAGGCCCTCTTCACTCTACCTCTATTGGAGGCCCTGCTTCAATCCATTTCCTCCTTTCCGTCCTGGCCAGGGCTTAGCCATGTAACAATAGCTCAGTAATGAACCCTCCTGGGCACAGTGCCAGATGGTGACATTTCACCTTCTACGTCACCTCTGCCCTCACAGCCACTCTTTTGGAGCAGGCAGACCGAGGAGACGAAGGCTCACAGACCGTCTCTGACTGGCCCAAGATGGCAGAGACATGACCAGGCAGTCCCTGGTACCAAGATGCCCTGGTACCCTGCACTGGCTCCTAAGGACGACAGCCAGCCTAGGGCAGCATTGCCCCGGCCCCAAAGCCGACTGTTACCATACTGCCCACGCCCCCACCCCCGTTCCCAGGAAAGACGGAGGCCCTGTTCCCTTCCAATGGGTTGGGCAACAGGGACACCTTTCTTCTCACTTCTGGGCCAACAGCCACAGCCCTGGAGGCAGAACCAGGACATGCCTGGTGACTGTGGGGCTCGTGCTCACCTCCCTTCGCGTCACCCCCTCACGCACTCCCCCTGCTGTCGCCCGCAGTGTCATACATCCCCAGGGTGGGGGTGGCCGTTGTGCCCCAACAGGCATCCTGAGCTGGTGGCTACCACCCTCCAGTCCATGGCTTTGCCCCTCATTCACTGTTCTTGCAGAAACTCCCAGCATGCACTCTGGGGGGAAGGGCAGGTACCAGGGAAGGAACTGAACAGAGAAAATCAGCAGAGAACAAACTCGCAAGTCCACAGACTTGATGCCAAGAGGCTGAGGAGTGCACAAGGCTGTGGGAAGGGGCCCCAGGAGGAGGTTCCTAATTCTAGTGGTGGGGTCACAGGAGCTTTGAGTGGAAGCTGAAGTCCAGAGGCCTCTGGCCATCCCTCCCTCACTGGCTCCATTCTGCCCCCTGGTGGTGTCAACACTAACCGCAGGACCAGGGCTGGATGTCTGAGAGGTGCCTGGGTGGCGGGGAGCCCCCTACTTACTGGTTTCCTGATTGTCCCCTGGTCTCTCTGTCTGTTTTCCCAGGCCTCTGCGGGAGAAGATGAAGCCAGAAAGGTAAGTGGCCTGGCTGGGGCTCCGGGCTATTCTCGGGCCTGCCAGCCTCTGTCCTAGCATGGGGGCCCCCAGCCACTTTGTCTTGACGCTTTTGGCTTATTGCAGGAGGAGACCCAAGGGCAGGGGGAAGAGGAAGAGAGAGAAGCAGAGACCCAGAGACTGCCACCTGTGAGTGCGCGGAGGGGGGGACCAGGGATGGCAAGGAGTCTGGGCCAGAGGGGGCCCCTGCCCTGCCAGCAGGGATCAGTGGTCGGGAAGGGGAAAGGCAAGGCCAGGGCAGTCGTGGGGCAGAACAGGCAAGTGTCTCCTAGGGAATCTAGGGCCCAGGAAGCATCAGGGGAACTTGGTTCTTCATCAGGCTTAGCCCTGAGTCTCTTCATGGCCTTTAGCGAGTCACGTGACCTCTCTGACCCTCATTTTCCTCTGTGTGTAGAAGGAGGGGAACATTCAGTCATTCTACACACATCTACCAAGCACTTACTGTGTTCCAGGTACTTCCATGAACAAACCAACATGATTCCTGCTCCTGTAGTGCTTACATTCTAGTGAAAAATATTCTCACAACTGAAAACACATCTGGGGCTACTTCCTAGTGGCCCTGTGAAGACAGGGGTGCTGGGGATGCCGGTCTCCTGAATGTGTGCAGCCCTCGCTTCCCCCTTGGGCCCAGGCATGGACTTGGGGAAAGAGCTGGCAGTGTGATCTATGTGCACCGCCCCCGCCCCCAGCCCCTGCCAGGCAGCCCCACGAAGAAAGTGTCCCGTTCCTCCATCTGCCAGGACAGTGGTCCTCAAACATCTCCTTTGGGAATCTCCTGAGAGAATTTCAAAAGCCCACGTGCTCCCTCACTTCTTAGGTTGACATTGAACTTGAAAAATTAGAAGTTCATCAAAATTGTAAATAGTTACATAGGATATCGTTTCTGGCATGTTATAACTATTAATGTTTTAATAAAGTCATTATATAATTCTTTGGGTACATCCTATAGAATCAGCCACCCTAAGAGTTCCCATCACGCACTTAAAAACAAATGTGAACGCTTTGCTTTAATAGTTGCATGTTTACGTTGCTTCTTTTTAACTTGAACCTGTGTTTCCATTCTACTTCCCCCACAGAATTTCAGCCCAATTTTTTTTTTGTTGTTTTTTGTTTTTTTAATGTTAATTTATTTTTGAGAGAGAGAGAGAGAAAGACAGAGTGTGAGCAGGGGAGGGGCAGAGAGAGAGGGAGACACAGAATCCGAAGAAGCAGGCTCCGGGCTCTGAGCTGTCAGCACCGAGCCCGACGCAGGGCTTGAACTCCCTGAGTGTGAGATCATGACCTGGGCCGAAGTCGGATGCTTAACCGACCGAGCCACCCAGGCGCCCCTAATTTAATATTTTTTTTAATGTTCAAAAGTCCATTATGTGTCCCCTTGTCACATTTATCTGCCATCACAATGGTGTATAAATTTGAATTGTTTTCATTTTCCTGTGAACAGAAAACTCTAAACTAAGTCCTTTCCTGGAATAAGTTATCACAGTAATTATTAGTAGTACCAGTTGATCAAAACAGCACAAATATGTCATATTTTAATAAATGTTAAACATAAAAGTATAATCAATCTTACAGGGAATGCATCTCAATGAGATGATGGTGGCTACCTCTTTTTAATTAGTTAATGAATCCACTAATGAATGTTACCTCCTGCCAGACTGAGACAGGATTCAGCATTAATTCCATTTTCATTTTTTAATAGAGGGAAAGGTTGAGAAACCATGCTCCCAGAAAGAAGTAAATGGGACTAGATGTCATACAATCATTTGAACTCCTTCCAAGTTATTTGCCAAAAGCCTCAAGGTGATCTGCTAACAAAAATTACTTCTCTTGGCTTATTAGCTGACAGTTCGGTTAAATTGTTCAATTTTGTTGAAAGCGAAGACTTGGAAACCACTTGACTTGCGAAAGCCTTGGTTACCTGGTCATTGGCCATATCTCCTTTTTCAGCACCTACATGGATATCTCAGGTTGTTCTTTTGGTCACTGTCCCCACCCCACTGGTTTTATCCTGGGGCAAAGTACTGAGCTGGATTTGGAAAGGACAAGATGCTTCTTTCCTTCCTAAAGGGAGCGGGGCAGTTGTGACCAAGGTGGTGGGGAAACAGACCTCAGGCAATTTCTCATGCAGTTTTCAGGCAGAGGACATGTGGAGGCTGAAAACTGATTCTCTTAACACCATCAATACTCACATACCCCTTGGACAATCTTCATACACATCTAGGGTTGCCCGTACCCCTGTTAGAAGACTGTGGTCCTAGAGTAACCGGAGGCATTATTGCATGAAGCCAGGCTGGGTTCAAAGTTGGCTCTGTCACTGACTAGCTGTGTGACCTCGGGCAAGTTTCTTAACCTTTCTGAGCCTTAGTTGTTTTTTGTTTTTGTTTTGTCTTCTAAAGGGTAATGATAGCAGGGCCTTCCTCATGGGATGTTGTTAAAGGGCAATGAAAGAGGGCTTAGCACAGGGCTGGGCACGTGGGTAAGTGCTTGGTGAAGGGTGACTCCTAGCTTCTTGGCCTCGGCGCAAGCAGAGACCCAGGAGTGCTGCAATCTCCCTGTGCTCCCTGTCCAAGCTTTCCCTCCAGGCCTGTCCCCCCTCCCATAGGAGGGACCCTGCCCTCACAGGGTGCTGATACCCCCTTTCTGTGTTTGGTCTCTGGCAGGTGCGGCAATACTGTTCCCCGGAGGTAACCAGCCCCTCAGAAAAGAGACAACCCCCACCCGGCTCCTGTATTTATTACCGTCACACTCTCAGTTACCTCCCTGCTGACACCTGCCCTCTATTTATTAGCCAATTGTATCCCTGCTGAATGATTTGCTTCCTCCAGGATGAGGGGCAGGGAGGGACAGGACCCTCAGGAATTCAGTGCCTTAAACAGAACGTGAGAGAAAGAAAGAAGGCAGCCACGGACCCATGTGTGTTTCAGCTGCGGGAGAAGCGCGCAGACGCGGCTTTGTGAGGGGCACGCCAGGGCCCGGCGGGCTTCCCGGGAGCAGGAGACGGAATGGGACCTGCCTCCTGTTCCGACCCTGGACCGTGTGGACCAACAGCGCTGGCTTTGGGAGCCCCTCGCCCCGGCAGGAGCGGAGGAGCCTGTTCTGTCGCCCGGGCCCAGGCTGGAGGGGAAGGCACGCCGGGGATGGAGGGGTCCTTCTGCGTCCTCCTCCTCCTCCTCCTCTGGGCAGCAGCTCCGCACCCTGGAGATCCGCCGACCCCAGAGAACGATGCTTGCCTGGGGACCTTTGCCACTCCTCGCGCCCTAGTCTGTCCTGACGTCTTGCACTGCTTCGTGCTGGGACATTGTTCTTTACGGTCAAGGCATCACCACCTGCCCCTCTCAGGGACACAAGCAAAGAGGCGGCCCTAGGCCGGACGTGGAGCAAGCCGCCCCTCGGTGGCTGTCCGGCTGCCAAGCCAGATTCTCTTGAATAAAGTATTCTAGTCTGGAGACAGCTTTCCCAGGGGAGTGTGTCTGCCGCAGCAGTGGGCCTCAACGGCAAAAACGTGGAAGCAGGACAGGAAGAGGGAGCCTGCGCTCAGGGCAGCCCTGGGGCCGGCTCCGGCCTCTCCTGCCGCACCCTGGAGTGTCTTCTCCCCTGCTGCTTCAGGCAAAACCCTGGGGTCCGCTCCTCCCGTCGCGATGGGTTCCCAAGATGGAATCTTGCCCTCAAAGTTGGGGGCCCTGGCCCCAGCTACCCCGAACACCCTCACATTCAAGAGCACACTCCCTTTCCCCTTCCCCCAGGGCCGTCCCACTCCCAGTCCGGTGCTGGCCCCCTGGCCCCTGAGGAATGGGGGTTCCCAGGCTTCTCCCAGCCATTTGGGCCAGACGTCCCGGCTGCAGCATCCCAAGCCTGCTCGGGCTGCTGGCGCGGGCGGGGATTCCCAGATGCTGCCCGATTTCTTCTTCCTTTTACCTCCCGTCTTCCTCTGCCTTCTCCTGAACACCTTGGCATGAAATGAGAAAAATTTTCTTTTTTCTTTTTTCAGTCCAAACCACGTACTACCAGATTCCCACCTGCCCGCGACCTGCAAGGCGTGTGTGTGTTTATGTTGTGTGGCCTTGTGGGAGGGGGAATTCCCCACTTCTGTCACTTGAGGCGGCTCAGGACAAAACCGCAGGGACCCAGTGGGCAGGGGCCGGCCTCAGGCTTTGGAGGGAAGCCATGGACAGGCCGGTAGGGGTGGGGTGGGTGGGGTGGAACAGCCCTGCTGAGGCAGCTGCCCTTGGCAGTGTGTTCCCTGAGGCCTGGGCCCCCCTGGAGGACAGTCTGGTCAGAATGTGCTTCTGGCATGGTCATGGGGAGGGAGGGGGCGTTGTGGGCCAGCCTCAGGGGACACATTTTACAGGAGAGATGCACTTCTCTCCTACCTCTCCACTCTTGGGCTGCAGCCATCCTGAGCCACTGCCTTTGACAGACTGAAAGCTCAGAAGATCACCCCTTCCCCTCGGCCAGGCCTCTGGCTCCGAGCCAGGGACCCCCCCCACAGGGCCACTCACATGGAGGTCAGCTTCCCCACCCCAGTGACCCCTGTAGAGAGCCAGAGACCAGGAAGCTCCCAGAGGCCGGAAGTGAAAATCTGCATCCGGGGGCGGGAGGCTCACAGCAGGAACGAATAGGAAAGGAAGTGGCTGGTCCATTTGACCATACCGGCAGCCGCATAGGTCTTAGAGGGCCCTCTTCATTTGCTCGTGACATGTTTGTAGAGCGCCCCCTGTGCACCTGACACGGTCCGAGGCACCAAGGATTCAGTGGGGACTAACGTGCAAGGACCTGCTCTCGCGGAGCTTATATTTGAGGGGAGAGACCGACTGTATGTTGCAAGATATTGGATGGACTTTTCTGTTGCTCAAATTGATGACTAGACTCAGAACTAAGGAAAAAGGGGTCTTGAGTATGTCACACTCTAAAACGAAGAGAAACAATTTGGGGCTGGACACATCTCCTACAGGATTTACTATGAGATGACTGGTGGCCCCAAACACCACCCAGCACCCCCTTCCTCAGTCTTCACAAGCGGAGACCAGGGAAGGGGAGGGGGAGAGAGGGGGAGGCGAGGTCCCTGGAGACCTGCGCTGCCGACCCCTTCGCATCTTCTCCCCGGAGCTGGATTTGCTCTGTGCAGATTAGCCCACGTGCTATCTGGATGGCACCTGGGGGGAGTGGAGAACTGAAGGGTGACAGAGGAGAGAGAGGGGCATCCAGCAGGAATTTCCCATGGGCCGGGGGGACATGGTGGGAGGCGAATGGCCCTGAGCTGCCTTGCACATGTTCTCCTGAGAGGAAAAGCCGCAGGTAAGGAGACCCCATGGGCTGTGGGCTGTGTGGGTGTGGGGTTGGGGCAAGCGCTGAGTAGGGGTGTCAGATATAGAGCTGGAAGGGGAACGCATCAGGGAACGGTGCTGTGGGGTGCCCTGCGGTGTGCCCCACAAGAGAGTTGGCCTCCAGATGCCCATCATGCCAGATGCATTCACCGCAGAGAAGACGCGGCCACAGCTAAGCATGCCTTTGCCCCGGTCACTCCTTCCCGACCGCGTGTAAAAGAGGAGAGAGGAGCTGCGGAGAGGGCAGGGCAGGTACAAGGGCAGACTGTGCCCATGACCTCCCCATTCCCTTGGGACAAATCCATACGCTGCCTGAGGGAGGAAAAACGAGTTGGTCTTAAATTGGATAGACCAGCCTAGATGGGGCTGGGCCTTTCCTAAATTAAAGTGACAGGAACATTAGAAGATTTCCCTGGGGCGCCTGGGTGACTCAGTCGGTTAAGCGTCTGACTCTTGGTTTTGGCTCAGGTCATGATCTCGTGGTTCGTGGGTTTGAGCCCCTCACTGGGCCCCACGCTGACCACACAGAGCCTGGTTGGAATTCTCTTTCTCTCCCTCTCTCTCTCTCTGCCCCTCCCCTGCTTGTGCTCCCTCTCTCTCTCAAAATAAATAAATAAACTTAAAAAAAAAAAAAAAAACTCCCCAAAATGCTATTAAGAGACAGGAAAAGGATGATTAACATAGTTCGTCTAGAAACAATAAAGGAAGGAAGCTAGTTTGTTTTATACCCACTGTTTGCTCAATAAGCAAGTTACACGTGTAAACAAAAAAAAAATTAATAAGGAAATGTCTTCTTGCCAAAATGGGGCTCTGGCATATTAGAGATGGCCTTGAATTCTTTGACATTACTCCCCTCAAGAGGTGAGGTCTCTGTTCCCCGCCCCCATGAATCTGAGTTGACCTGGGTCTTCTCCCTACGGCAGAAGGGACCCAAAATGTTTCCTTTTGAGCTAACTGGCAGCTTCTACTTTGGTCTCTTGGAAGACTGAGCTGCCACGTCAGAAGTCTAATTATCGTGAGGCCACCATGCTGGAAGGAAGCCCAAGCCAGCCATATAAAGGGAGAGAGAGAGCACGGGAGCAAGAGTGAGAGAGCTCGATCAGTTTCCAGCTGTTCTAGCTCCCAGCCATTACAGCCATCGCCCCAGACCCATGGAGCAGAGATGAGAGGTACCCAGTGTCCACTGTTTGATTTCCTGGCCCTCAGAATTGTGAGATACATTCATAATTAATTGTTTGGGGCCAGTTTGTCATGCAGCGATAGAGGCTAAGTAGAATATAAGGAAAATAAGGAAAGGTGATGAGATTGTGTTTGGGGGAAGCTACTTTATTTATTTATTTATTTATTTATTTATTTATTTATTTTAATGAAATTTATTGTCAGATTGGTTTCCATACAACACCCAGTGCTCATCCCAACAGGTGCCCTCAATACCTATCACCCACCCACCCCTCCCTCCCACCCCCCATAAGCCCTCAGTTTGTTCTCAGTTTTTAGGAGTCTCTTATGTTTTGGGTCCCTCCCTCTCTAACCATTTTTTTTCTTCCCTTCCCCCATGGTCTTCTGTTAAGTTTCTCAGGATCCACATAGGAGTGAAAACATATGGAATCTGTCCTTCTCTGTATGACTTATTTCACTTAGCATCACACTCTCCAGTTCCATCCATGTTGCTACAAAAGGCCGTATTTCATTCTTTCTCATTGCCACGTAGTATTCCATTGTGTATATAAACCACAATTTCTTTATCCATTCATCAGTTGATGGAGGGGGAAGCTACATTAGAACCAAGAGGTCATGGATGGCCTCTGTGGAGATGACATTTACGGTGAAGTCTGAAGGACAAGAAGGAGTTGGTCACGTGAAGATCACAAGTAGGAGCACTCAACCAGAGGACACAGCGGTGCAAAGGCATGGAAGGAATCCTATGACGAGCAAGGAAGGAAGGGCACAAGATGTGATGTCAGGTAGGCAGGGGTCGGGTTATGAAGGGCTTTACAAGACGGGGAGGAGGCGGAATTCTATTATAATGTGGAGGGAAACCATTGGAGGGTTTCAAGCAGCGGGGTGAAGTGATACTAGGTACATTTTTGAAAGATCCCTCTGCCTCCTGTATGGAGAATGGACTCTAGGGACACCAGACCAGAGGTATTAGAGTTTGGTCCTAATTATGCATGTGAACTGGCTATCCTGATCATTCATTCATTCATTCATGAGCATTCTTTGAGGCTACCAGGAGCGGGCATTTTGTAGTCGATACGTGTGTGGGGGTTAAAATATATTACCAAGTGAAAACCTTCCCAGTTTCCTGCTTAATAAGGAAAATCCCACTCTGCAAGAAATAAGGAGGATAAGGAGAGAGGCCTTAGCTGGAGAGGCTGTTGATCTACCTAGGAACTAAGAGAGAGGAGGGAAATAAAAGGGCTCAGGGCCAGATCTAGAGCAAGAGCTCTAGATTTTGTTTTGTTTTGTTGTAGAGCTCCTGATGACTTAAAGTAATTTGGGAATGAGGGAAGGGCTTGGGAGAGCGCTACAATATTTCCCTCATGTTGAAGGCCCTAATGTTCTTTGAGAGATGCTCACTCAGAGAGACACCAGGCAGAGATCGAGCCCCGTGGACTACCAGATTAGCTAGGGTTACAGAGATGGGTAAGACATTGATCTTAAAAACTTAGTCAAAGGAATCAGATATGCGCTATGTGCAGGCAATTAGAATAAATGGAAAGAAGGCCCCGCGGCTTAAGCAAATGCAGATCAAGGGCTACCAAAGAAATCTGAGGTATCTGGGATGATTGGCACATGGGGGAAACCAGGGCCGGCTTTGCAAAATTGGTGGCACTCGAGCCATGACTTGAGGAAAGGCAAGGTTGAGTGGGGGGAGGTGACCAGGGAAGGCGTTCTAGTGGGAGCGCCCTGCCCCCCTGCCATTAACAAAGAACCCAGAGGTGGACAACCCACCACTGTATAGGGATTTTCAAGTGGTTCAGTTTGGCTGATGCTTGAGGTCCGTCAAACAGAAGAGTGATGGAAAAGGCCAGAAGGTAGCCCGGGACCTGGATGCCATCCTAGGGAGTCAGGGCTTTGCTAGACAGTAGGAAGCGCTGAAATTTTTTAAGCAGGAGAGTGACATGATTTGGGGATTCAAGGCCGAAAGAAAACTTACAAATAATCTACTTCTACCTTCACTTTTTGCAAATGAAGAAGCTGAGGCCTGGGCTTGTCCACAGCCGTGAAAGTTAAGTGAGCCAGAATTTAAAAATTTATCAGTGAGTGGGATGGAGGAGAGGAAGAGGGGAGGAGAACTGTGTCTACTCCCAGCCTGAGAAGCAGGCCAGACATCTGCGAGGTGGGCTGGGTGGGTCGACAGAATAGGGCCCCTCCACAAACTCTGGTGGGAAATCAAGGCTCCAGACAGGGCAGTAACGGGACAGGGCCTTGGTGTGGAAAGATGGCTGTCTGTCAGCACCAGAGTCCAGCAGCTGTTTTCCAACAGAAGGCTGACCCTTGCCTTTCCTGAGGGAAGCGTGGAGTGCCCCTCCTCCCCCTGACAT